GCACTCCAGCCCAGATGACAGAGGAGTGAGATCCTGTCTCCAAAAAAAAAAAAAAAGAAAACAAATTTATTTATTAGTGCTTCTTTTGTCAGTTTTCTAAGATGCTTCTCTATTTCTTTTTTCTTTCATTTTTTTTTTAATCCCTATCATCTTGTATTAAAGATGCTTCTTAAAGTTGATTTGTAATTTCCTTAAGATTCTGTCTCTGGCATATCAATTTTACCTTTCAAGAGTGAGAGCTAAGCTGGGCATGGTGGCTTATGCCGGTAATCCCAGCACTTTGGGAGGCCTAGGCAGGAGCCCAGGAGTTCAAAACCAGCCTGGGCAACAGTGAGATCCCATCTCTACAAAAAAAGAAAAAAAATTAGCCAGGCATAGTGGCACGTGCCTATGGTCCTAGGTACTTGGAAGGCGGAGGTACTTGAGCCCCGTAGTTTGAGGCTACACTCTAGCCTGGGTGACAGAGTGATACCCTGTCTCAAAAAAAAAAAAAAAAAAAAAAAAAGAAAAAAAAAAAAGCTGATTGAAAAAATATGTTAGAACTTAAAAAGAGGACCTTCTTTCTTCATACTTTCAAATAAGAAATAAAATTTTATAATTTCCTGATATCAGAGGGTATGCTTCATAAAACTTCTTTGTTTAGAATTTTGATTTAGATCCAGCCGTTAACCTTTGAGATAAAGATAATAGTTTTATAGCCAGAAGTAGTGAACAAATAAGTGCTGAATGTATAGACCAGGATTTATGAAAATATGCTGGTGTAAAAGCCTTAATAATTTTATCCCTCTTGACTCAGTAGAGATTTGAGTAGCAAAATTAGTTAGAATTCTAGAGACTACTTGAGTATAGGAAGATGAAATTATTCAGGATCTTCCCTCCATCTCTTAAAGGCCTATAATGTTTGATGCATAGTGTTATAAAATAATTACTTTGTTTATACTTTAGAAATACATGTCTTTTATAGGTAGTAATGTTCCTCCATATAGTCATCCTTTATTTCCATTAGGTTATAAATTTCTTGTTAGTGAGAACCTATCATTGTATTGTCCATAACACAGCATATATATTTACTTGGAAAATAATCATAGCAAAATATTATTTGAATTCTTCCACTTCATTAATATAATAAAATTAGTTTGAGTTTCTTTTAGCTATAGGCTTTAGAATAGATGTTTACTTTTTAAAATGACTTATTCAGATATTTTTCTGATTTGCTGTTATATTATGAAGTGATACTTTGCATGCAACAGTAAATAAATGTTTAGTTCCTAGCCTATCACCGTGCTGGAAACTATTGAAGTTATTAAAGGCTAAATATATGTTATTGTTTCTGTCTTTAAGAAGCTTTGTTTTTCTTGGAGAGCCAAGGTATATTAAATAGTACAGAACAAGAAGTTAGAGAGAGGGTTGAATGGTAAGTTGAGAAGGTGTGGTATCTTATTTTGTACACAATCTATCAAAAGAAAACCTGCTAGGTGTTTGTCTCAAAAGAAATTGCTATTAAAAGAAATTTATTTTTTATAAAGTAATTTATTTCACACAGTCTTTCCCATTATATTTTATTTTTATGGTATTTTTTTTTGTTGTTTTTTGAGTCAGGGTCTCTGTTGTTCAGGCTGGAGTGTGGTGGTGCTATCATAGCTCACTGCAGCCTTGAACTCTTGGGCTCAAGTGATTCTGCCTCAGCTTCTTGAGTAGCTGGGACCACAGGTGTGTGCCACTGTGCCTGGATAATTTATTTTATTTTATTTTATTTTTGGAGAATGGGGTCTCACTCTATTGCCCAGCAGGTTTCAAACTCCTGGGCTCAAGCTGTTCTCCGCCTCTGCCTTCCTAAGAGCTCGGATTACAGGCATGAGCTACTGCACCTGGCTTAGTTTTTAAAATTTTTTACTGTATTTTATTTTTTAGTTTTTAAAATTTTTGTGGAGACAGGGTCTTACTTTGTTGCCCAGTCTGGTCTTGAACTCCTAGCCTCAAGTGATTCCTCCTGCCTTGGTCTCCCAGAGTGCTGGGATTATAGGCATGTGCCACCATGCCCGCCCAGTAAATTACTTTTAATAGTATAGGCACAGTCATTATAATTAGGTATTTTTGGAATTTTCCAATTTTATGGGTCTCCTTTTGACTTGTAAGTATCTCTATTAGGAATGATTACAACTTGTCTTTATCAACAGCTGGCATATAAATTATTAAGCAATAATTTAATGAGCAGCAGAGAAAAAGAAAAAAGTAGGTGTCAGGATGAGGTATTAGGAACAAGCAAAGAAGGGGCTTTCAGTAGGGTTACGTCATTTTGCTAGGCTGTGTCATTAAAAATCACTCTGAGTCCCAGTACAGTGGCTCATGCCTGTGATCCCAGCGCTTTGGGAGGCCTAGGCGGGTGGATCATTTGAGGTCAGGAGTTCGAGATCAGCTTGGCCAACATGGTGAGTGAGACCCCATCTCTACTAAAAATACAAAAATTAGCTGGACGTGGTGGCTTGCACCTCTAATTCCAGCTACTTGGGAGACTGAGGCAGGAGAAGCGCTTGAATCCAGGAGGCGGAGGTTGCAGTGAGCCGAGATTGCACCATTGCACTCCAGCCTGGGCCACAGAATGAGACTCCATCTCAAAAAAAAAAAAAAAATCACTCTGAAGACTGTAGGTTGTTTAATTGCTCTTATACTTACTGAAAATACAGGTATTAGAAGAACAAACTTAAATTTATTTGCATAAAAAAATGCAAAAGGAAACCCGGATTAAGCATGCCATTGTAATTGTTTTTAAAATAAATTCTAGCAAACTTGGTTATCTGGGTTTCTTGCGAAGGTACTCGGTAAACTCTGTCCATTTCATTTAGCTGTTATGTATTTGAACAGGGGCAGGATATTAGAGGATTCCAGTATAGTAACTGGTATAAAATAATGTCAGCTGTGTGAAACTGGGAAAAGAGTAAAACAAGAATCTGTAGGAGCAAACTGGAAAATTGTTACAGGTTTTAGTCACTTTCACTAGGGATAGACAGCTCAGTACAACTCAGTAACTCGGTTATATCTTTATATAACAGCAAAATATGATGATATGTTTTCTTGATGACATTTCTTGTTAGAAACCATAATAAAAGCAGGCACTATTTATTTTTAAATTTAACTGTATGCCAGACCCTGTTCCAAGAATTGTATATAACTACATTTCATTACTACCACAACTTGAAAAAAAAAAGGTGATATTGTTCCCTTTTTAGGAATGAGAGAACTGTATAAATTTCTAAGACAAGGTCAGGTGGGTAGTACAGTGCTGAGATTTCACTTTCCTTGGTTTCAGTTACCCACTGTCCAATACAGTAGAATATTTAGAGAGAGACCATATTCACATGATGTTATTACAGTATGTTGTTATAATTGTTATATTATTATTAATCTCTTACTGTGCCTAATTTATAAATGAAACTTTATCATAGTTATGTATGTACAGGAAAAAAATGGTATATAATATAGAGTCTGTACCATCCACGGCTTCAGACATCCACTGGGATCTTGGAATGTATTCCCCATGGATAAAGGGGCAGTAGTGTAAATGGCAGAGGCAGAATTTCAATCGAATTTCTTCTGGCTCCAAAATCAGCTTTGTTTACATTTCATGGTAAAGTGGCATCCTATATTCTTTAAGAAGGCAGGAAAATACATAACATATATACTTAATATAGTATAAACAGTTATATTTTAGAGAGAGAACAAAGTTGCTTGTTTAGGGAGTAGGACTATATGTACCTCTTAACCAAGCCCAAACCCCAGGGTAAACCCAGTTTTCTCTTTGTAGTTTTTGTTTTTAGATTCCTGATCGTGGCTAAAGATAATTACATATTGGTACTGGTCAACTTTAAACAAATTAAGTATTTTACAGCTTTCCTTGGACCTCAGTGGCACTTGGCAATACTTTTACTCATCTAGTCATGACCTGTTGCATCCTCCACAATTACAGCTGGAAACTTTTTTTGTTCTCCTTAAGCTCCCAACCCTACCCTACTGTTTCTCACTCATACCAGACCCATCTGTTACCTAGTCAAGAAAATGGGGATTTTTATATCTTGAAATCCTACAGCTTGTCTTTCTTTGATCTCCTTTAAACTCTTATTTAGTCCAACCACATCCTTCCATCTTCCTGTATGCAAGTTTATCAGGCCTTTGAGAATATCAAGCTTCTTGATAGCTGTGTATATGCTTCAGCCTACAAACTATACATAATCTTTTCCTTTCTCAGATGCCTGTCTTCTTATAATTTACCTTAACTTCTGTGGCTGTGTTACTTTATTCCAATTTTGTTTATGTATAGGTTATACAGTACTGCTTAATATTTTTTAAATTAAATAAGTAACTTTTATAAAACCAGAACTATATTATTGTAACAGTTTTGTTTTTTAAGTCTTGAAAAAATAGGCAAAGATTAAAAACAAGTTTCTGTATTTGCTGGAGCATAATGGAAGCTGAGAAACATCAAGGAAAACAGTCTTCACAGCTTTCGAGATCGGTTTATAGTATTTAATCAGACATTGAATGAAATATATGTATGCTGTGAGGGAGGAAAATTCACAGCTGCGAAAAGGAGTGTCAAGCGGGTTCTGGTGGTTTTGTGACATTTTTGTATGTTGTCTGGAAGTTTCTCTCCGACACTGTGTTAACATATCTTAGTAACACTGTAGCGTTATCATGTAATTATGTAATCTTAGTCTGGGATTTAAAATGAGAGTATTTTAACTTTTCAAAGCATATTCCATCAAACAGAAAAGAGAATCAGTGTTTAATTCCTGACTTTTTGGCTGACTGTAACAATAACAATAAAAAAAGACTAACGAGGGCCTCACAACAGGTATCAAAGTTAGTTATATGTCATATTGAACTCTTAAAATGTATTTTAATTTGTTATTTATATTAACTTACATTAGGAAAGAAAAAAGGTCAATGCACAGTTAAAAGTGTTGGTTTTTTTTTTTGTTTGTTTGTTTGTTTTTTTATTACAGGCAGCTGTTAAATCTAAAAAAGCTACAGATACCTATAAACTCTATGTGGAAAAATACGCATTAGCAAAAGCTGATTTTGAACAGAAAATGACAGAAACAGCTCAGGTTGGTATTTTAAAGTCTCAGATTGGAAACAGGGCATTTATATTTGTGTATATTGATTAATTTTTTCTCATATAATTTTTTAGTGTTCGAAATTTTAGAATGCACAATCTCAATGTTTTAATGATGCTGTTTTAAAAATACATGTCTTGTTTTGGAGATTGAGGACCAAGATGCAATAGTTATAATGTCATAAGGAATTATACAGGTAGATCAGAGGAGCCTGTGTAAAGATAATTGGGGAAAATGAGGGCATTGGTACATAATGAAGACAGTGCTTAAGAAGCATTAATAAGAAAACTGGAAGTGACTTAGTACTGAGGCTATAGCAGTCAATAAAACAACCCAAAAAACCCCTGGTCTTAAATAATTTATGTATTATTGAGGGAAGACAGACAAAAATGTCTGCCTTCCATTAGCTTGGGATAAATTATATTTGGTGTAGTGTTCTCAGAACCTTAATTAAAGGCCTCGTTTAAGGTGGCTGCCTTTTAGGACTCATACCTAACATTTCTCCTCTCCGCTGCCCCTGCTTCTTGTCCTTTTCCTTGTTTTATTTTCCTGCTTAGCACTTATAGTGATCTTACATATCAATAATTTTATTCCTGTATCAATCAGGTCAGAGTAAGTATGCTGAGGTGACACAAGGCCCCAGAAATCTCAGTGGCTTGCAATATAAAGGGTTTATTTCTTTCTCAGGCTACATGTTCATTATGGGTTGGCTGCAGCTATTTTACATCGTTTTCACTGTAGTCCTGAGGCTGGTGGATGAATCCCTTTTTGCAATGTTCTTAGTTATGTCTGAGGGGCCAGAAACATAGTGAAGCACATGGGCTCTTTTACCTATATTTTTTTATCTGTTTTTCTCCACTAAAATTTAAGTTTATGAGAGCAAGGATGGATTTGTTTTGTTTACTGCTATATCCTCAGCATTTAAAATAGTTCCCAGATCATGGTAGGCACTTAGTTAGTATGAAAGAAGGACTTTGTGAATCTGAATTTTTGGACTGTAGGTCTTCATTATGTCTTCCCATTTGAGGTAGTGAACAACTCATATCTTAGAAAGCAATGTCTTGCATACTTGTGTGCATGTATGTGCATATCCGTCTTTACCCACAATGGCATAGGCTCTGTTAGATGCTGGTGTGTATACAGTACATCTGTAAATAAGACAAATATCTCCGTGCTTGAGATGGCGTTTACAGTGTAGAGGAGGGAGGCAGACATTAAATACATGCTTAAATATAAAGTTATAAATTATTACAAGTATTGCAAAGGAAAACAATAGGCTTCCATGAGATAGAATAATAGGAGTGACTTAATTTGGATTAGGGAGTCAGGAAAGGCCTTTTAAGATAAATGACGTTTAAAACTGGGACTTGAAGAATGAGTAAGAATGAAGCAATAGGGCAAGAGTGTTACAGGCTTTGGGGATCACGAGTATGAAGGCCCAGAGGGTATAAAAGAACTGTTACATTCTGGAAAGTAAAAAATGCTTACTAAACCTGAGTAAGGGAAAATGGTAGTGAGAAATGAGGTTGAACTGATACGCAAGGACCAGGTTTTATTAGGTTGGTGCAAAAGTAATTGCAGTTTTTGCCATTACTTTTAATGGCAAAAGAATTTAGGTTTTCTTCTAAGAGCAGCTAGAAGCCGCCTAAGGGTTTTAGGCAGGGATGTGACATGATCTGATCTACATTTAAAGATAATTCTGGCAGTTTAGTGAAGAATTGATTAGGGTATGGCTAAAGGAGAATCAAGAGTCCAGTTTGGAAGTCAGTATAGTAGTCAGGTGAGAAGGATGCAGGCCAACATAGTGGTCTTGGAGAAGGAGAGAAGTGAATGCATTGGAGATGGCAGGGATGGGATGGGTTGAGGAATTCTGCAGATCAGGATCCCTTCCAGGTTTTAGCTTGTTAAATCTATGTGGAAAGAGATGAATAGGGAAGATTAGATGAAGAACTGTTAGGTTGATGGAGGGAAGGGATCAGATGTTCAATTTTGAACATGTTAATTTTAAGACACCTATGAGATACGTAATTGGTGACATCAGGAGGGCAGTTTTGGGGGAGCCAAGTAATCTGGACCGGACATAATGTCCACAGTTCCTTATCCACAATTCTGAATCTGAAGAGCTCTGAGTTATGCTATGTATATTTTCCTTTAGAAATATTAATGTGTTTGATAAACAGATGCCCCTACAGATCTTGCTGGTAGTATTATGAATGAAGTATATGGCATTCTAAACAATACTGTATATCTTTATTTAAAAAATAAGGGAAGAAAAGGAATTCCAAAACTCACCAGGTCCCAAAAGTTTTGAATAAGGATATGAGACCATATAAAATAGGGTGTTCTTAGTACACAAAGCCATGATGACATCACTTTTAGTTAGAGTGTGCGGAAGAAAGGGCCTCAGGGCCAAGCTCTGAGAGACTCATTATTGAGATTTTAATAGAAGAAGCCAAAGAAGAAAGAAGAAAACTGGAAGTGTAATGTCATGGTAGCTGGACAAAGAAGCTTCAAGAAGGAAAGGTTTAGGTAGTTGTCTTAAATAAGTCTTCAAGTCTAGTGAGATAGAAAGTTTCAATTTCTGTAGCAGCTGAGGTCATTGCAGACTTCAGCAAGTGCTGTTTTGTCTTTTAAATCATTAGGAGCATTTATAAGGCAGTTATTGTTGATATGTTAATTTCACATTAAATGATTAGTCTCTATCAGCTAAGCATTTGCTGTTTTGTTAATTTTTAAAATTGGAATAAATAGGATTTGCTATAGTCAGAGATTTTTGTTTGTTGATGTTACTTTATAAAAAAGAATGTTCGGCACATTTTTCCATTTCCTTTTTATGTTCTGCTTCCCCATTACATTGTTTTTCAAAATGGCATTTTAATTGTTCATCCTGCCTTTCTGTTTTTTTTGTTTGTTTTTTGTTGTTTTTTGAGACAGGGTCTCACTCTGTCAACCAGGCTTGAGTTCAATGGCACGATCTTGGCTTACTGCAACCCTTCTGCCTCCCAGGCTAGTGACCCTCCCACCTCAGCCTCCTGAGTAGCTGGGACTGCAGGTGTGCACCATCATGTCCGGCTAATTTTTGTATTTTTAGTAGAGACAGGGTTTCACCTGTTGCCCAGGGTGGTCTCGAACTCTTGGGCTCAAGCGATCTGCCCAGCTCGGCCTCCCAAAATGCTGGCTGAGATTACAGGCACTATGCCAGCCCATTCTGCCCTTTTAAAGATGGGAACATTAATTTATTTGAGCAAATGTGTGACCATGCTGCTTTTAAATAAAGATGATGGCATACTTTACTAATGTGTATATATTTGTTCTTTCTCAAGATCTTAGCGATCTCTGTTTCTGTCTCTCCCTCTCTGTCATAGTCGTACAGCTGCAGAATAGGTTAATTATTGTTTCTTCATAGAGAATAGACTTTAATTTGGGTTATTTTAGAAGGTGAAAGTAATCCTTTTACTTCTCCACTTAACTGTTTTTCCAGGCCACCTGGGTTGACCAGTCTCAGTGGGAAAGAAAGAACCAGACAGTGTAGTGAGAATCAAATTTGGGTGGTAGGACCTGTATTTACTAATGGGAGAAGATAATTGAGTCTGTAGGGTGAAAGAGGTTAGAATTTAGAGTATTTGTGATTTAAGTTTTCAAAATTTAGGTTTAGAATAAAAATGATTGAAATTGTGACTTTTTATGCTCATGTTTTTACCACTATTAATTAATGAGACACTTGAAACAGAATATGGAGATTTTGTTTACTTTAAAGCAGTGAGATGGCTAGTTTATGGAAACTTTGAGATTTGTTAATCAGTACTCTCAGATGAAAGATTATTAGAATTAGAGTACTTTTATATATCTTTAGTGGCTGACAAGATAGTATAGTCATGTGTCACTTAACAATGGGGATACACTTTAAAAAATGTCATTAGGCAATTTTGTCATTGACAAATGTGTGAACATCATAGAATGTACTTATGCATGACCAGGCGTGGTGGCTCATGCCTGTAATCCCAGCACTTCTGGAGACTGAGGCGGGCGTATCACCTGAGGTCAGGAGTTCAAGACTAGACTTCCTAATACGTTGAAACCCTGTCTCTACTAAAAATACAAAAATTAGCCAGGCATGGTGGTGCACGCCTATAATCCCAGCTACTTGGGAGGCTGAGGTGGCAGAATTGCTTGAAATGGGGAGCAGAGGTTGTGGTGAGCCGAGATTGTGCCACTGCACTCCAGCCTGGGCAACAGAGTGAGACTCTGTCTCACCAAAAAAAAAAAAAAAAAAAGAGAGAGAATGTACTTACAGACCTGGCTGTATGCTGTAGTCTGTTGCTTCTAAGCTACAAACCTATACAGCATGTTACTGTACTGAATACTGTAGGCAGTTATAACAAGATGGTATTTGTGTATTTAAACATAGAAAAGATACAGTAAAAATACACTATAAAAGATTTAAAATGCTGCACCTGAGTAGAACACTTACGTTGAATGGAGATTGCAGGACTGGAAGTTGCTCTGGTTAAGTTAGTGAGTGAGTAGTGAGTAAATGTGAAGGCCTAGGACATTACTGTACACTACTGTAGATTTTAGAAGTACTGTAGATTTAGGTTATGTTAAATTTTATTAAAAATAGTTTTCTTCCTTCTGTAATAAATTAACCTTAGCTCACTGTAAGTTAGAAACAAAAAAATTTTTAAACATTTTGACTCTTTGATGATGACGTCTTAAGGTAGAAACACATTGTACACTTGTACAATAATATTTTCTTTATATCCTTACTCGATCAGCTTTTTTTCTGTTTAAAAAATTTTTTAACTTTAAAAATCTTTTTCCTAAAAACTAAGACACAAACATGTACAGTAAACATGGGCCTACGTAGGCTTAGTATCATTAGGATTGCTCTTTTGTCTCTACATCTTCTCCTACTGGAAGGTCTTCAGGGGCAGTAGCATGCATAGAATTGTCATCTCCGGCTGGACTTGGTGGCTCACACTTGTAATCCCAGCACTTTGGGAGGGCGAGGTGGGCGGATCACTTGAGGTCAGGAGTTCGAGACCAGCCTGGCCAACATGGTGAAACCTCATCTTTAATAAAAATACAAAAATTAGCTCGGCGTGGTGGTGTGCGCCTGTAATCCTAGCTACGTGGGAGGCTCAGGCATGAGAATCACTTGAACCCGAGAGGTAGTGGTTGCAGTGAGCTGAGATTGTGCTACTGCACTCCAGCCTGGGCGACAGAGTGAGACTCCATCTCAGGAAAAAAAAAAAAAAGTATCACCTATGATAACAAAGCCTTCTAGAATAACTCCTGAGGGACATGCTGGAGGCTGTATTACAGTTATTGTTTTTTCTAATAAGTAGAAAGATTACACTCTAATAATAAAAAGTGTAGTTTAGTAAATACGTTTACCAGTAGCATCATTTATTATCAAGTATTATGTACCGTCTGTTAAGTGCTATGCAGTACTTTTATGTGACAGGCAGCACAGTAGGTTTGTTTATACCAGCATCACCACAAATGTGAGTAATATGCTGTACTACGTTATGGCAGCTATGATATCACTAGGCAATAGAAAGTTTTCCTATCTGTTATAATCTTTTGGTACCACTGTCATATGTGGCATTAGTTGTTGACAGAAATGTCATTATGTGGCTCATGACTATACTTTCAAAAATTAATATAACAGGCTGGTTTGGTGTCTTAGGCCTGTAATCATCAATTTGGTGGCTTATGCTTTGGGAGGCCGAGACAGGCAGATCATGAGGTCAAGAGATTGAGACCATACTGGCCAACATGGTGAATCCCTGTCTACTAAAAATACAAAAATTAGTTGGACATGGTGGCAAGTACCTGTAATCCCAGCTTTTTGGGAGGCTGAGGCAGGACAATCACTTGAACCTAGGAGGCAGAGGTTGCAGTGAGCCGAGATCACGCCACTGCACTCCAGCCTGGTGACAGAGCAAGACTCCATCTCAAAAAAAAAAAAAAATTAATGTAACAGTACATGTGAACACAATGAATTTGAAGTTGCAGGAGGTAAAGTGCCTATCTAATTTGTTCAAGAAAGTTCGTTTGTGTATACTCAGGCACTTGAGACTGTGTCCATTTCCCATTGCTGAATTACTCTGAGTTTAGTAGTCACTAATTTTGAGGAATTGTGATAGTTAGCAGTGTGCCCCTACCCCCAAAACCCCACAGTTTCAAAATTGCATCTGAATCATGCCTTGAGTTTCTCTGTGGATTCATATTTTAAGATATTTGTAAATAAATAATGATCTGCCTTGTTGAGTGTAGCTTTTTCAAAAGGGAATAAAGATGGTTTCCTCGGAATTAAGGGTCATTCAAATGAAATTAATGGCTACCTGTCTATGAGAAAATATCTTGTTCATTAAATTGCTGAAATTTAAGCTAAGGGCTGTCCTTCTACTAAATGTTCCTCAGTTCTTGAGAGTAATTCAGGATCTTGAAATACTGGTACTGTATTCTCATTGACTTGGTCAAAATTAGTCAATGACAAGCATTCCATTTTAACTCTGCCGTTCCTCATAAATCACATTGATGTAAGTTTTTGGGCTGTTGCAATACTGCCAAAACTGTAATTTCACCATTCTGGATTTTTTTTTAGAGGTTCTTACCATTTACATATTAGATGTCATTTGGTTTGGGGATTTCTGGTCACCAAAGTGACTAAAGAAATTTAGATATTAAATATAGGGTCAGGGAATTTAATTTGATAAACTAGCCAGAGAAAAATAATAAGGCTTAGGTCCATTCCTTATAACTGATTTAATTTGGCAAAAAATGGATTACCAGGTTTGTACAATAGAAATGACAAATGTATTTTGTTTGAAAATGGATAGCTCAGCATTTCCCAAAGCCTGTTTTAAGGACTATTAATTGTTCTGTGAGATATTAATAGATGTTCAGGGAAGAAGAAAAGCAAAAATGTTGTGAGGTCAAAGAAATTTGGAAAATGCTGGGTTAAGCAAAGTGAAACGTGTCATTATTTCAGTATTTCTCAGAGCTGCTTTTTTTTCCCCCAAGATGGAGTCTCCCTCTGTCGCCCAAGCTAGAATGCAGTGGCGGGATCTCGGCTCACTGCAACCTCTACCTTCCAGGTTTAAGGAGTTCTCCTGGGTTCAATCTATTCTCTGCCTGAGGCTCCGTAGTATCTGGGATTACAGGCACGCACCACCATGCCTGGCTAATTTTTGTATTTTTAGTAGAGACGGGGTTTCACCATGTTGGCCAGGTTGGTCTTGAACTCCTCATCTCATGATTGACCGGTCTCAGCCTCCTAGAGTGCTGGGATTACAGGTGTGAGCTACTGTGCCTGGCCTCTAGGAGCTTTTGATATATTTTGATATATTTATATATCAAGGCAAGGCACGGCAAGGTAAGCAGCGGTTTTCTCTCTGGAGATATCAGGGTAACTTGGAAATGTTTCCAAACAACATTCTCACCTCTTTCAGCCCCCATTCCCAGGCGTACTGGAGGATCTATTGTTTTGAGTTTGAACAACTTCTCCAGGTGATCTAACTCAATCCTCACCTTCGATGAGATAACTGTAATAATAGTATATGCTTCCCAGTTTTTTCTTTGATCACAATTCATCCTTTGGGGATTCTATATTATTATTTCTTTTTTTTTTTTTGAGATGGAGTCTCACTTGTGCCAGACTGGATGTGCAATGGCACGATTGGCTTCCACTGCTACCTTTTGCCTCCGTTGCAAGTGATTCTCCTGCTCAGCCTATCCAGATCGTGACGTGGGTGTTGCATAGTGCATGCCACACACGCACTGGCTAATTTTTTGTATTCCAGTAGAGATGCGGATTCCACCATGTTGGTAGGGGTCTCCAAATCCTGACTGTGTGTC